AAAAGTCCAGCACGCCTTCTATTTGCGAGCCTGTATGTCGTTTATTTGTCGCCACTGCTTTAAAATGGCTTATTTTTTCTGCTTCGAATCCTTTACAATTGATTTCATCTTCCTCGGTGGTATGCCTTTAATTCTTAAATTTCGTATGTTGTTTCAAAAGTGTTTCGACATGCTCGAGTGACTTTAAAATCTCACAATTTACAGTATTGTATATGTCAATGATTACCATGGCAACCCATTTAAAACACTGCAGTCTTATAATAATAGTGTCATTTTTGTCTAAACAAAATAATGGAAACATAAATTTGTTGGAAGTCAAAACGATCTGATATTCAGTGCAACAAAACGATGTTATATTATGTTAAAGATAACTGGCCAAACAACACCTCTGCAACATTTGAGAAAAACATGCTGACGCATATGACAATTTTTGGGGGCACAATGTCTCTTTCCCCCGGTCCTGAGAAGACACAAAATATCCCGGCCCTGGTAGGGTTGATCAGTAACTTAGGAAATTACATAATAATCACAAAGCAGGAGCTGAGGGTCATATCAAGTTAACATAGTCTGATCATCTTAGCTAAGGACAAGCTAAACATCAGAATGAATCTATTCCTTTCGTTTTCATTTTCTAAAAGATGTGGGGCCTGAAAATTGTCATGTGCATTGCAACTATTATATCTTTGTTTTAACTTTGTATGCACGTGATTCATTCCTATAACAAATTTCAATGTATTCGCAAATATAACCAGGACATAAATAAATTATGGAAACAGCGACATCTCTCCTGTAGTTGTGCTATATCTTTGTGGAGGAAAATCTTCGAAACGTCTGTAAATTAGCCATATATTTCGAGCCAAATGCAAAATCCTATTCGGTAAATACACTAAGAGACATACTGAGGGAAGCAATGTTGCAGAAATCTTGGTTTACATCACGTGTGTTTCATTGTCTACTTCCTCGATAGCCGTGGTCTGACCAGATCAATAACTTAATTTAATTCAATCCTCCGCGCCTCCTACTACCAAATTATACACGAACGCACGAATCTTAGGCAATGCGGAAGTCGTCTGTCTTGTAAATTTTCAATTATCGTCACTTGCTTAGGCTCCGTTTCGAATTCATCACGATGGGTCAAATTGCACGTTATGCGACGCTCAAAAATGTTTCAACGTGGTCCGAAATGAAAAAGAAATCACATCCGGTATGGAATGTGTGCATTTCTATTAGGACATTTTCGGATAGCATTTGCGCGCATTGGCTAACTGCGGTCTTAAACAGCTGCAGCCAGATGTCTTTATACATAGGTCATGATAAATTACTCAGAATGCCACCCCCACTTAATTCCTTCACAAGATTATGTGATGCCCATCAGCCTGTCCTGCGCCCTGTTTGCAGGGCGGGGGTACGAGCGAGGGGTCTATTAAATGACTGTATTTGGCTATTTCTGGGTCAGGATCGTTGTTTGCATTCAGACACTGGGCCAGCCCCCAGCCACATGATGATTGATTTCTTGGGGTTTCAAACGTTGGCAATCCCTTTGTGTATACCTTCATAGAGGCTATCAAAAATGAATGGGGCCGGCTTGGGCAACGGCCCAGTTTTACAAGGGTCGGCTTGGCTGAGGAACCCAGGGGTTAAAGGAGCCGTACAGCCTCAAACTATGATAGTTGATTGAAGTTCATACTGAATTTTCTTGGGCCACAGATGCTTTAGTGTAATGAATTAAGTTAGAAAAAAACTACTTCCGCTGCAGTGTTTTGGCTTCACTGAGGGTTAAACCAGTGATGGTGCTTGGCCCGCAACCGGATATGTCTCTTTTGACATATTTAACCTGTCGATAATGTGCCAGTGTCGATATCATGCCAGGGGTAGGCTGAGACGGCCCAAGTTGGATAGGTTTCGTACCTTAATGAGTCGGCAGTTTAAATTTCTCTTTAATGTCGCGATCAAAAGGAATGCTTGCGATACGAAGAAAGAAATATAACTGTCTATTGTGACATACCATCTGTCGCTGTATATTTCTTTATATCTCATGCCAGCGCGTGTTTGATCAGCTAACTGTGAAACCTCTCACCAGCCAGGTTTCTATACAAGACACCAGGATTATTATATCAGATGGATCATCTTTTCCATGCTGTGGCATAAATTTGTGCCGGCGAGTGGGGGGGGGGGGTGGGGTGGGATGACCAAAGCCCAGCCGTGGACATTCGAAAAGCTTCTCAAAAGTGGGAGTGGTACATACATGTGTATGATCAGTATTTTTATTATTTGGGTGCGAAGCCTAAACGGCGTGGGGTTCGGGGCCCGCTCAAGGGCCCTTGAAAAAAAAAGATTCTAGGCGCCATGTGGTGCGAGCTGAGGCAATTTCTGACGACTGCGAAAGTTTTAGCACAAGATCATCATTTAAACGTCTTT